AAACTAAATATGAGTACAAATTAACAAACCAATTAAAAACTAATACTTATTTCAAACTTAATTATCAATTTAATTAGCATATTTATATAATGAAGTCATATAATTATTGATAATGAAATAGGGGTGTCAATATTTGACACAACCGAAATCCAATTGGGAAAACTTTAGGTTAGGGCCAATCTGTTTGTCAGACGGGTCAAGTTCGGGTTCAAAAATATGATATGTTTCTAAAATCGGATCGGGTTCGAGCTGGCCTCGCAACCTGAAGTAGACCCGGGACATGGTCCGCTAGCGGCTAGCCTGCCTTTCGTTAGTTCTGTGCCACATTGCCCACCGTCTCGCCCGACCTAGCCCGCTAGCATGCAAGGAGTTGGTCTCGCCCAAGCCCAATTCGACGTCCGCACAAGCGCCTAGCGGCCCTAGCCCTCTCTCACGGCCCTCCTCGGCCTAGCCGCCTTCAATCTTCACCACACTATGCGTCTAGCGAGTCTACATGCCTACACGAGCCACCGCCTCGCCTAAACCGCCTTCAGCAGTTCAACCTAGCCCTAGCCCGTTGCCCGCCTATGCCTGTCCGCCTACTGCTGGAGTTTGAAAAATAGCAGGTTCGCGGGTCATGTCGGGTCTAGGTTGGATTTCCTGACTCTTTTGCAAAACCGGGTCGGATTAGGTTCAACCCATTTATACCAGTGTCAATCCGGGTTCAACCCGAACTTGACCCACATACTCATTTTGACACAACTGTAATGAAAGAATATGTTAGCATGAATGAATGGTGGAGAGAAAAAAGAGCAGGTCAATTAAACTCTTTAAACATCCTTCACTTCTCAAGCAATTCACCATTACCCTATACTCATTACATTTAAACGATGAGAAACTGTCGATTGCTTCTTTGATTTCAATTAAATGATCGAGCTTTGAAAAAAAAAAAAATACAATAGCTTGTGGTTATTTGCCCATTCTAAATCACAACACAACTTAAGTTGCAAAGATCCATATGCTGAAAGAACAAATTCTTTATCAAGACAACTTACTGCCACAAGATAACATAATTAATGATATTGCCTAATAAATTGACTAAGAATTTGAACACAATAGGTAATACATTGGTAATATTACTATGAGATAAAGCATATGATAATGTCTTCAATGTACAAAAGAATAATAGTAAGAGAGTTGTTGGATATTTATGTAAACAAAAAAAAAAATCTATCTTTAATAATGATTATTGGTAACTTACTCCAAACAAGTTACTATAAAGATTGACATACCTTTGACATTAAGTCTGCATGCTTGAGATCATAGGACTTCCGAAACTTTACGGACAATATTCCCAATATCATGATGTTGAAAATCTCATTCAAATCGTCATGAAGAAAGGCATTGCTAATGTCAAGTTGATGGAGATTTAGCTTATAACAATCCTATTAAAAGTCAAATTCTCATTTAAATTTAATAAAGAAAGATCATTTCTAATATTTTCTAACCAAAACTTTTTAGGCCTACCTCTACCTTTCTTAACATAAGTAAAATCTAATACCTCTACTTTCCTAACCGGGTCATCAGAAGGCTGCCGTTTTATGTGACCAAACCATCTAAGGCGACTCTCTCTAAAAATAATGTTGGTTTCAAGATGAAAAGTTACACACCGCTGCTTGTCCAGGTGGTGAAGAGCCGGCTGGGCAAAGCCCAGGTCCCAGGTTCGAATCTCTTGGCAAGCAGTGAAAGTCTTAAGTGTTGGCCCGTATAAACAGGTGTGGGTTACATGCTAAGTTGACCGGAGTTTTCACTGGCCTAAGGACAGTGCTTCCTCGTTAATTTTTTTTTTTGATGAGTTTATCTTCTTCTTTTCAAAAAGATAAACATTGAAAATGCAACATGATGCTCTAGAATGAAGCTGTCTGTGAACCACTTTTATTTGTTTCAAAATAGAAATAACTGAAGACGTTTAATGAGAAAAAAAGAGGGATATGTGATGCTTTTGAAGAAGTTGCCAAAGGACAAAACAACCAAAGGGATGTTATGCCTCCATTGCACTTTCCCTTTCATCTACTAGGATGGCCCCTCTTATTGGATGTGGGCCTCTCCACACTTATTTTGAATCCCATTTCTCATTTAGATCTATGTTGTCTTTCTTCAATTTAAATTTCAAATGACTATTTTTTAGAGATGTAGTATTTTGATTTTGGTATAATCATATTATTCTCAATGGATCTTTGGCAATTGCTCATGTTTAAATGCACAATCATATAACTATTTCTACTAATTAATGAAATGTTGGGGGGTGGCTCTCAAATTCCCCTAAAAAATCATTTCAAATGGTATTTATTTTTCGAGAAACTGCTCAGAAATTTGTCATGTTTAAAAATATCAAACAAATTATAGCGATTTAGCCAAATAAACTCATTTTTAATTAGAAATGTTTTCATCGACAGAATAAATCAAGGTTATTGTAGCTAGGGGTATCAATATTTGAAATGAAACCGACCCGAAATTTTTTTGATAGGGTCAACGTGTTTCACAAACGGGTCGGGTTCGGGTTCCCAGATTCGACCCGTTTGAAAAAACGGGTCGGGTTCGGGTTGACATGGCAACCCGAACTCAACCTGAGTTAAATCGAGAGCGCCCCTGCTCGTTCCCGCTGCCCGCGGTCGCATCCGTGTTACCCGCTTTGCATCTGCATGCTCTCGTTGAGGAGACGTCGCCCTCACTGCCAGCAGTCACATCCGCGCTACCTGTCGTCTACTCACCGTCATCGTCGACTCGCCGAGCCCGCGTCCATTTTCCCTCGTCTGCTGCCAGCACTAAGAGCGTAGTCGAACCCACCAGGTCCGTGACCATCTGTCGTACTCGCCAAACCAGCTTCCGACACCCCTAATTGTAGTATTATTACTTGATTTTTCGTTTTAAATGTTTGAAGCACCAAAATTTTATTTTAGCATGACTAACCTGCTTGTCTCCGTTATTCACTAGAACTCCTGGAGTAATAGTAGTGAAAATGGGAGCACACAAGTTAGTAAATAGAAGGACAATGCAGATTAGATATTCAAAATAAAATTATTTTTAAGGTAGTTAATCTCAATATTACTTTTTAGAATAATAAGATAAAAAATCAATGATCATAGATTGAAATTAGGCGCATTGCTAAGCATGATTCCAACTATAAAAAAGTTTAGAACATTAAAGCAATCATAAACATGACTGATTAAAAAAAAAAAAAACAGAACTGATAAGATTGATGAAGTTCACATCAATCGAAGAAAAAATTTTGTTACGAGGTCCTATTTAAAAATGATCAGAATAAATTTCTACTTTGAAACAAGTAGAATATATTAATAATTTATATCATAATCATCTCAAAATAGTTCCAAAAACTCTCAAGTTCATTCTTAAAAGAAAAACTATGATGAAAATATTCTGACATAATTTTTTTTCATTTCAAAAAAAGTGAAAGGTCTCACCTTACATAGATCTAAACTCACACAGATAATTCTTAAAACTTCTTAAGCTAGGTCTTGAAAATTCAAAAAATATATTGCCCGACTGCCCGAGTGAAGGCCTCTAATGAAAATTCAACAGATCATATGATGCAGTATTAAGCCATCAAATAGTTAGTCACTAAAACAAAGAAAAAAGACTGAAGTGATAGATCGAAGGTGTCATCCATGGAATAGGGACAGTAAGAGGCAAGCACAGGTTCAGGTGCACAAATTAACAATGCAAGAGGTGTGTTGTCAAGTTCAACTACTGCACTGTGTTCCTGTCCAGACATAGTTAAAGCAGCTATTCGAAAGTGTGGTTCTTGGTCCCACAACCCAAATGAATTATTCTGTGCGGACGTCGAATACTATCTAAAGACCAACCAGAATGTGTCACGTCACCCCTTCGCTCGGTACCGCGGCTTCGTACTACTCGGTACCGCGGCTCGGTATTGCTAATGTGACGCATTTTGATTGGTCTCCGGACGGAGTTCTATGTCCGGCCTGACTACAGTCCTCTGAGAAATCATCACTCAACTACGATCCTTCTGACCTCTGTGGCTTGTCGACTACGATCATCCGAACATCAACATCTGACTACAATCCACCGATATATAATCTACTGACCAGTGGCGTCTGGCTACTCCAATGAATACCAACTCCATCACCTACCATCGCTAACAATATCAACACACGTCGTCACTTATAAGATTCATGCATATCATCAATGCCAACTCTGACTACCAATTATAATGCATGTCGTCAATGTCAACTATGACTCCCAATTATATGATGTAGTAGTCCGCTGGCTTCTTCCCAAGATAGGCAAGATAGGTTGCTCAAATTTTCCTTCAATCCGACTTAAGTAACATAAGCACTAACAGAATTTATATCCCCACCAATAACCAAGCTAGCAGCAATCATCTTATTATTAGTAACATTTACCACAATATTTTTTTTTCTTTCAAATCTCTATACATATGATTACTCCATTAAAACAATAAACCTTTCCAATACATTAGAACGTTCCCCCAACCTCTTTGAAGCTTTTTCCCATTACATATGATCTCTTCTAAGCATTATCAATATCAGCAAATATGGTAATAAGCTATACTAATAAGCTCAAGTGATAAGTGCACAGCCATCTCAATACACTTCTCCACTAGCCCTTCCTGCAGCTCGGTTTAGTAACTTATACAGAACTCAACTCCACTGAGCCACAGAGGCTACCTGCCGCATCTTCAGACAGAGACCTCCATGTGAAGGAATCCTACTTGATTCTTACTAGTTACTTCAACTATATATATCACTTTACTGTATATGAAACCAATGAATTAATGAATTCCATTCCACTTTATTTGCTTCTCTGTTCTTCTTTGTCATTCTTCTCAAATGCAGGTATACTTTTCATTTGTTTTTATATAGATATAGTAGCGATAATATCCTTGCACCAGCTATGAGGGACTAGCTTAACTTCTAATGAACAAGTGATGTTTATTTTTGTTTATCTCTACTTGGGAGTTGGGACCGAAAACAAGAGTTTTTACATTCCAGTGCTAACTATTACATGCAAACCTTAGTAAAATATTTATGCAACAAAACTTTCAGAGAAAGAAACCCTACGATAAACAAGGCAAAGCTTCAAGAAACCAAAGAAGAAAGGCCAACTATACCGCATAACTACCATACTATGCTTTTAAAGAAATGATCGCAGCGGAATTCCAAAATGGTTTGGACTTTGGACGCCCATCCCGCAGTTCCAGTGGTAAGGCAGGGGCACAGAGAAAAAGACCAGCCAAAACCCAACTTTTGTCGACTTTCACACTTAGTCGTCGTTAGAACAAAACCCCACCAACCTCAGGGTATACCCCCATTCACGTCCAGAAAGGAACAAATGAAGAAATTAAGAAATTAAGAACTTACAGTGGCAGAAGAGCTCGTGGATATCCGGCCGTGGCTCCGCCATCTCCGTTTCGCTGCAAGTGGAAGTTATTAACGGGAGGTGGAAGATGACGTTAATGATTTCCAATTAAAGAAGGGTTTGGAGATTCTCTGTGGATATTTCACGAACAGGGATGGAGGAAGAGAGGGCCGCCACCATCGCCGGGGGTTGTGAAGTGATGAGACACAGATAAACGAAATTTCAGGGGCATTTGGTAGCACCCAGCATTTCATTTAAATCGTATTTCGTAAATCCTTTAAATCCTGATATACGATATCCGGAGGGATTAGATCCTGAACTGTTTGGTAACATTCATATAAATCTTGAAAAAAAGGCCAAAAGTGGTAGTTTTCCGTCTATGGCTGCTCTCATTGAACAATTATTATGGTACGTCCGGTCGGAGGCTAAATTGCGTCAAAAAATGAGAAATACCGAGCAAATACCGAGCAATACCAAACAATAACGAGGAATACCATCACGTGAAGACCCAATACCGAGCTATACCGAGCAATACAAAAATTGTACTGAGTTTTTCCAAGAAACTCGGTATTGCTCGGTATAACTCGGTATTGGTCTTCACATAGCGGTATTCCTCGTTATTATCAAATAATACCTAGCAATACCGAGTTTTTTGGCGGGATTTTGCCTCCGACCGGACATTCCTCTACGTCCTTACACTGGCCCTAATAAAAGTTCGCTCTCATTTACCCTGAAATTTGGTTTTATATTTTAGGCTACTTGACTGGTTTTCGCTCAAATCCATCACAAATCTGACCTAAATCCTGCTACCAAACAGCCCCTCAACGTCGGAGTTGAGGAAGCTCGCCAAGCGAATCGAAAAGTTACAAAACTAGTTACAAATAAGTATAAAAAACTATACCACCCCAAATCCTTAAGAAATAAAGAAAGCTATAAAACAAATTCAGGAGGAAAAAAAGAACTGACTTAGGAAAATAAGGACTACATCTCAACGACATCAAAACCAGGCATAAGGAAAGCCACAAATCCAGCAGAAGGCACCGGTTGCCAGTAGCTAGGACGAACCGACCGTCGCAGTGCCATATAAACCCCTCCACAAAACCTGGTTGCCATAAGACCATCCAAGGATGCTGGATAGATGTAGTCCTTGCTCATCATCGTCCCAAAAATACCAACATCCGGAAAGACAGCATTAACCACATACATTGAGACAGAAGAAGAATGGCCTAGCAGCATTGTCTCAAATATGGAATTAACCAGAACATTCCAGCTTAAAAGTATATAAGATATTAGCAAGCTTCGATAAGGAACTCGCACCAGAACCACGGCAAATGTACTGTAAGGTTTTTTTTAAGATGAATTTATTACTGTTTCTTAAATCAGTTTTTTAATACAATAAATAAATTTTTTATACTAAAAAGATGTTTTAAGAATTTGTAAGAAAATCATCTCATGCTTCGTTTGGGACAATTTTTTTACTGCTTCTTAAAGTGACTTTCTAGTTAAAAATTTTAAATTTTTGTACTGAAAAGCCGCTTTAAGAAGCAAGAAGGAAGCAGTCACAAACGAAGCCTAAGTCACAAGATGGAATATATATATATATTTTTTTTAAATAGCAAGATGGATGATTAGCTTGCAACCATGGTGAAGAGACGGAGTAGTTATATACTTATTTTTTATAATAAAATTATTCGAATTGAAGTTAATATATATCATTAAAAAAGTATCTTGATCGGCATGAACCTTGACTTAAAATTAAGTTGGAAATTTTAAAAATTAATTCAGAAATCATATGGACTCCGATTTAAGTAAACTTAAAGTCAAATTGAAGACACTACTAAAAAAATAAGCTTTCGCAGCACTTTTTATGACCTACGGCAGCGGTTTAAACACCTACTAATTTATTTGCAGCGGTTTAAAAACCGCTGCAAATCCGCTGTATCTGCGTTCGCTGCAAAGGCTACAGCAGCGGTTTCATGAGTGCTGTTGTAGGAAGGATATCGCAACGCTTTTAGCAGGTGTTTAAACCGCTGCGAAAGGGTAGCACAAATTAAAAAAAATATAATGCAAACCGCGAAAACACTAATAGTAGTGAAGGTCTTGAAAATACGAACCCAATGACACCAAATTCAACCCAATCCGAGCTCAAATAGGTCTAAATCAAAGATCTGAAGTGTATTTGGAAGGTTCAATCCATAATTTGTATTTCTAAATAATTTACAAAGGTGACATGCTTATATTTGAATCAAGCATCTCGACAAGACGAATCCAACGAGCCCAATATTGTTAAGACATTCAAATGCCTAGTAAACGGTCCACGATCAAGGGATTCAATATCGGTCGTCCATTTAAAACCACTCCTAATTTACCCTTGATCTTTCTCTTATTTATTGGTCATGCCACTGTTAAAAAATTATAAATAAACCCCTCCTTTCTCATGAGACTCGACCCCAAGCAAGAAGAGAATAGGATGAAGCAAGGAAGCAAAAATTAAGAAAAGCAAGAGAGCTCTCTTGCCACCACTTCTCCTCGACCACCACCGAAGTTCTTCTCGGTCGCTGACTGACGCTGGAGTTCTGCCCAACGGCCAACTGACGCAGGAGTTATGCCCAGCCGCCGACCGACGCCGGAGTTATTCCCGACAGCCAACTAACGCTAGAGTTCTGACCGACCTTCGACTAATGCCGGAGTTTTGCCCGACAAACGACTGACGCCAGATTTCTGTTCAACCGTCAATTGAAGCCAAATTTTCGGCCAACCACCAAAATGTTGTCGGATTTCCAAACTCCGTTTGTAACTAGATTTCAACTCAACGGTTGATTATTATAATATGATCGTTCTCAATTTCGGGGATGAGTCCGTCACTTGTAATCAATTTAAACACTAGTGGAAACTTTTTCAGGTGAGCATGGCCCTGTGGCTTTTCCCTTTTTCAGGGGTTTCCACGTAAAAGTCCTGGTTTTCTTTCATCTTCTATTTGTGTGCTGGATATTCATACAATACGAGGACGAAAAATTCTAACTTTATCATCGCGTATATTCTGGCCCGCAACAGAAGTATATTTTGTAAGAGACAGAGCTTTAACGATCCATCTCTGGGCAAGCTATATAATAAGAGTGAGCTTAGTAGTGTCGAGTAGGAGTGGACAAGTTTACATGCGAGTAAACAAAAGTAACTCACCAAAGCAAAAAAATAGTAAAAAAATTATTAAGCCCTGTTATGCATTTTCTTATTTTTTTATAGCTTGAATATAGCTTATTGTATAGTGCCAGCCTTTTTCTGAACATTAAAATTGGGGGTCAAGGGGAAGGCCTATAGGTTTTAAGTCATTTTGTACTCAAGTCATGTACTTTTTAAAGGATGACCTGAAGCAATTAAATACAAATAGAGGAATGAAAAATAAATATAAGCTAGGATCCTCACTAGCTCTAGTTAAACTATCTCCTTAAGACCCCTATAATCCTAACTATCATGTGTCTATGTATGGTAAGATTAAGTTCTAAGTTATGTAATTATTCTTCTAGTCCATTTGTCGAGGCTAAAGATCATCCTATGTTTTGAATTTATATAAGGCATATACATAAATCAATTTAAGTTCAGAGAAAATAAAAATAAATCAATTAAGTTTGGAGAAAATAAAATAGTGTGGATATAATAAACATTAAACCCTATTTTAAGCAATACATGTCTTTTAATTCATCACAGATTAAGAAAAAAAAATCATCACGGATTCAAAAAAATAATCATCACAGATTCAAAATAATTAATTAGCTACAGATGGAGGAGTTGAAACTCATAACAAAACAATAAACACCACAAAAATATTATTTTTATTTTAATTGACTCACAAGTACAAACATAATATACAAATATGAAATAAGAGAAAGTAATGTTAGAAATGTCCTGGAAGAAATTCTACAATTATTTGCTCACTCTCGCGCGTGCTTTTCTCGTATCCAATACATGACTCTGATACAATAAACACAAGCTACACACTCTCCACTACACCTCACACACTCTCAAAGAATGGCACTAAAAATAACCCTTCCAAGTTGCCAATCTCTTGCTTCAAGGAATAAGGTGAATATTTGTAATTTTCATTTTTTTTTAAACTAGCGTTGCGACACTGGCTTGGTGCCACTGCTGCGCTACTGAACTGGCGCATCAGTTCACCAATGGTTGCTTGGGTTCACTGATCCAACTAACCTCCACTATGGTGCTGGGCGATGTAGCGATGCGACGCTTCGATCCGACAGTACGACGCTGACTGGATGGCGCCTTGATGCTAAGCTCTCTATCTGATTTTTTTGTATGTTCTTTGCTGCAGCGTTGAATGTGTGACATTGCGGCGCTGAAATAAGTTCAGGCTCTGCAATGCTAAATTTGTGGTGTGTTCAATTTTTTATGTTTTTTTATAATTTATTACACAGATCATAAAGATAAAAAAATGCAAAATAACATGATCATGAACAAATAACATAACATTTTTATGTTATCATATAATAATACGAATTATTGGAAAATTCGAAAGAGTTCCAACAGCAGAGCTATTGATTGTGGATTTTGGTTGACACAGGAATTGAGGAAAATTATTCTCCATACAGGCAAGAATGAGGAAATCAGTCTGAAAATAGAAGACTTGTTGAAGAAAGGACCATGCAATTTCATACACTTTAGGGCATGAAATTTGAATAGAAAAAAAATCCTTCATTTGAGGAAAGAAGAGTCATGTTATCTTTTACATGACAATCAGGTCATTTTAGTATCATAAAGGAGAGCCTCATATTAGGGTCTCCTATTAATGGAATAGCCTACCATGGATAGCTTTCAAACCATGGAGGGCTCTCAATCCTTAGAGCCTTGCATGAGTTCTGATATATCATTAAAATATTATCTTAATCGGACACAAATCTCGAGGTAAATTTTAAGTTGGAAATTTCAAAAATTAAATCTGGGACCATATGAACTCCAATTTCAGCAAACTTATAGTTGAACTGAGCGTCTCGGAAATACGAACCCAACGACACCAAATTCAACTCGATCTGAGCCCAAATGGGTCCAAATAAAAAACCGAAGCACATTCGGAAGGTTAAATCCATAATTTGGATTACCAAACAGTTTCTAAATATGACATGCTTATAAGCGAATCGAGCAGATCGACGAGACGAATCCAACGAGCCTAAGATTGCCAAATTCCGATATCATTAAGACCTTCAAATGCCTGACGAACTATCCACGATCAAAAGATTCAATATCGGCAGTCCTTCCAAACCCCTCCACATTTTCTCTTGATCCTCCCCCTATTTATGGGTCATGCCACTATCAGAAAACTATAAATAGCCCCTCATTTCTCTTAAGAAGAGACCCAAGCAAGAAGAAAAAAGAGGAGAAGAGAAGAAGAGGAGGGAAGAAACTCCTCAGCCGCTGGAGTTCTGTAAGACTTTCAAGTGTCGCTGGAGTTCAGCCCGACTTTCAAGTGCCGCCGGAGTTCCGCCCGACTTTCAAGTGACGCCGGAGTTCTTTCAGATCTCCAAGTGACTATGGAGTTTTGCCCGAATACCATCTAACGCCGGAGTTCTCCTCGTTCGCCGACTAAATTCGGACTTCTACCCGACGGCATACCTCCCCTCATCGCCAGATTTCTACCCGATGCCGAACTTCTGCCCGTTATCAGATTTTCGTCGAACATCTATTCAATGTGGGATTTCTATCAATGGCTGGACTTCTATTTGATGTCATCCTTCTGACCTCCGTCGTTAGACAACGGTCCTTCCGACCTCATTCACCCACTAACTATAGCCTTTCCGGTCTCTATCGCGGGATAGCCGTATTTTTTTATAGTAATTTATCATGATTTTTATTTAGGACTTCTACTTATATATATATATATATATATCAAGAGCATGTGTGTGGCTCAAGGAGCCATTCATTTATGTCATAACATTCCTCTACAAAGGCTCTCCCTTTAATGCACCCTCATTCATACAGCCTGATCATTTACTTCAACAGTACTGCTAAAGTATTTATAATATTATCATCGTTTTATTACATACTCTTGCCTAGAAACTTATTACTTTTTTTTTTTTGGTAAATTATTAGGTAGGTAACAATTTTGAATATTTTTTCTTACTTATCTGCAAAAGTATTCAATAATAAATTAATTTTTATAAGAAGATAAAGAAAATTTAAGGTGATTTGTAAAATATATGAACTACTAACTATTAGTATTATGGTCTATTTAGTTAACATCACAAAAATATTGTAAGAGCTAAGTCTCTCTATCATCTCTAATATTTCATCACATAATAATATATAAGGTCAATTAGAAACTAGTTAACTCCATGCATGAATCAATTTAATAAATATTACATAAGTCAAACTCGAATTTCAGACTTAAGTTTTAAAAATTAAATAGCATATCATTAAACTAAGGTTTAATTAGGGACGACTTATTTGGCTAAGAAGACTCTTGCTCGACTTCAATATTAAACTTCCTTCGCCCACAAGCCTACATTGTGATAGTATGTCTGCTATAGCACTCGCCAACAATCCCGTCTTTCACGCACGAACGAAGCATATTGAAATCGACCATCACTTCATTCGTGATCACATTCTATCGCAAACGGTCAACATCTTTCCAGCTTCTACCAAGGATCAAATCGCCAACATCTTCACCAAACCGCTCTCGACCAACAGATATCATTGGCTTCGTGACAAGCTTACTGTGTGTTTCATTCCATCAGCTTGTGGGGGTGTAATAAGAGATACTTGTATAACTAAGTAATTACATGCTTGACACCTGTATCTAGAATTACGACTCATGGCTATCTATATAAGCCTATTGTATCTATTTTGTAATGGCATCATCTTATCAAATCATATTCTCTCTAAGCTGTCTCTGTTCACAAACCTAAGAATTTCAATTCCACACCAAAATAGTGTAAAAAAAATTCAATCAAAACATTAAAATTGTCTTAACAAAATAGTAGTTTGAAATTCATAATGAAGCTACTTCCAATTCAAAAATGATGAATTGAACTTATAATTAGGAACTTTCAATCAACAAATTTATCAAACGGTCTATTAGAAATGTTTCAATATGCAGATAAGGAAAAAAGAGAAGCAAGAAATAGAGCAAGTGGAGTAGTAGGGTGGCCCCAAAATAGCAAGATTTATCCCTAGATAAAAGTTACCTTCGATATGTTATACTGAATGCGGAAGGCAGTTGCGAACTGGGAAGAGGAGATTTACGAAGGAGGCTGTGAATAAGAGATTCACGAAGATGAAGGCTCCAAAATCGAGGGTTGTGACTGCAAACAAGAGGCATGCGAAGGCGAAGGCGAAGACTTTGACTTGGAAGACGAAGGATACGACCTCTTTATCGTCGAGTGCGACACGGAGATTCACGAAGACGAAAGACAACTGAGAAGGGTGAACTACAAAGTAATGATTCATATGACAAGATGGGCAAACATGCTCACTATTCGGATAGCAGGCTGCTATCAACTGAAATTTTAGGATATTTTTTTTACTAATTTTTAAAATATTTTTTTATCATTTTTGGATAAAATTTTCATATTAAAAAATCATTTCAAAAAATAATAACTAAGCTATCCCAAGGAAACCTAAATGACTAAATCCACTTGCGCTTCCTATCCCGATTAGCCCCATGCTCCTTTGCCCAGACGAGCCAGCCCCTATTCATCTATCTGACCTTATTTTCATTAAAAAAAAATTAAACATGAAATACATTTTTAATTCATATTAAAATAAAAAAAAATTATTTCAAGCTGCTTCTAAAGATGTTGCGAACTTAACTTTATTCGTACTATCGTATATTTTATTACTTACGTGAAATTAAATTACATTTAATAATTAAGTTCGTACCTTTATCCGTGACCTCAATTAAGTCATAAGAAGGGCCCTTTTGACCCCTCATTTATCCTTAACGCAGAGCAAAAACTCACTCCATTTGCACCAAAAGTCAAGGGTATAGTCGTCTTTTTATCGTTAACTCCTTGTCCCACAATTCAAAGTCCCCAAAGCGTTCAAGCTAGAGACCGGGCGCCAGCTCTCTCACAGCGCCTCCCTCCTCTTCCACCGACATGGATCGCGAGACCGATCTCTTCCCTTCCTCGCCGACGAACTCCTCTACTTCCTCCTCCGATCTCGACACCATGGTAAGATTAAGAACCCTCTACTCCTCCCTAGCTAAATCCCCTACTAATTCCTTTTTCCTAATCTCTTCCGGCCGGACAGTCGACGGGATCGTTCTTCCACGATCGTAGCACGACTCTCCGGACCCTGATGGGCCTCACCTCTCCGGAAATCCAGGCCAGGCCCAGTCGGCCAGCATCGGTTCGACGGGTCGCTGCCGTTGGCGGTGGAGACGGAGTCAGCGGTCGGAAGCCCAAGTCGAGACGAAGCGGATGTTGGCGGTTGTGCCGTGGGGATGTGGAACCCACATCACTGGAGCAGTTTCTACGGGCGGAGAGGCGGCTTGGTGCCGCCGAGGGGGATTTTCTCTGCGGTAATGAGGCGGCGGCGGACGGCGCCGGTAGGTTGTTTTTGAACGGGAGGGTTCTTCCCCCTGCGCCGGCGAGTCCTGTAGGACGGCGGCGAAGGGAGGGCGAGGCGGCGGGTTCACTTGGAAGGCTGCCGGTGATGTTAGCTGGGATTTGCAGCGGCGGGGAATGGTAGATCTGTAATTTGATTTTCTATTTTTATTTCATGAGAAAAGTTTTTTTTTAATGTATTTTAAACATTTCTTTTAAAAGCCTGACGCAGTTGGCGAGAAGTCGTTGTGCCTATAGAATGACGCAGTGCGTGAGTCAGTCCACGATGAAATGCTTTTCCTTTTGTTTTTTCTCTGAATATATAATTTTTTATTTGATATAGGTCGATTACCCAAATTTTTATTGAAAAATAAAGTGCTGAAATTTATAGCTTAATTATTTTTTTACTTAAAAAAACAAAGAAATAGGGCTGTGTGAGCATATATGTCAAGAGCAACGAGTCTTAGCTCAGGTTTATACTCAAGTTATTATATTAAATCAGTTCAAATTCAAGCTCTGTTTTGCTCTACTCATAAACTTGTTGAGCCTCTTGATTAATTTAAATATTATTTTAAATTAATATTATATAATATATTTTAAAATTATTGTTGTTTGGCCAATGTAGTCCAACAAACAGCTTAACACTATGATCTCCTAACCATTGTTGACGATTATGATCTTTCGTTCATCATTGTTTAACTATTATTGCCAAAATATATTCTTTCGATCATCTAATCTTTTTGGGAGTTTCGAGAACCATTCGCTTGAATGCCATCTCCCACAAACTTTGTAAATAAAAAACATCAACATATGTCGTCATCAATGATGCTAAAGGACACCATTGCATATAAGTTTGAAGCGTGACATCAATATAAATGTCGACACCCCGGATATTGACATAAACATGGATGCTCTTTAGCGCCAATAATGCAATTGCATGCAATGATTTATAAAGGTTGATGCTTGCCATTGACAAACATTGACGTACACCAATTTTATTTTTTGCCATCATCACCAACATTGACGTTGCTTCCACTACGACGGGCAAACGTGACGCGGGCAAAAGCAGTCAGCGCGGTTCAATCCGTGTCATTTTTGAGTTTCCATGACAACCTTGATCTGACCCGATTTTTGAAACAAGTCGGTTTATTGAACCCGAATCCGACCCATTTCTCAAACAGGTTTACCTTATCCCGGAATTATCGGGTCAGATTCGAGCCGGATTTTCGGGTCATATCAAATATTGAGACCTCTAATGACGAGTGTCAGGCGATAGCTTGTTTGCAACAATTGGTAGTAAGCGATCAGTAGTGATAGCAGCAACTTATAACGATAATGGCAAATAATTTATAATATATTTTAAAATCAAATAAATCTAATTCAAAATACATCAATATTGTGAATTTCTCTTCCATATCAAATATACAGCCCAATAATATGAGGAAACTTGCCTCCTAAGTAGGCGAATTATTACGTCCAGACACCCAATCCAGATGCATCACATCACCTGAATACACTGGGCCCCGGTGTATTTTGATGACGTGATGCGTCTGAATTGATGTCCGGACGAATCCGGACACCGAACGTAATAATTTGCCTAAGTAGGGCCGCGAAATCAGTTTTTTCTTTCATTAAATGGTCACATTAGTTTTAAAAGATTTAAGTGTTCTAATTTTCGTAGTGGTGGTATCCAATTTAATAGATTGGCTGCACAGCCCGCTGTTTTTCAATCACGTCAACATCTCAGCACTCATAAACAGCTTGGCTGCAACGGCACTTCTATATTAAAAATATAGTTATGGCTAATCCTTCTTAATTAAACATTTAATCACACTAATTAACATCAAACATTAACTGATCGATATGAGTTTAATTAACTTTAAATATGTCGAAAACATTATGTTTAAATAATCATGCCTGTTGGTTATTTCTTATATAAATAATTTATGAATTAATTATAAATAAATTGCCCCTAGCTTTTTATTTTTTATTTCAATAATTCTCAAACCCAAGAAGATTTTATCTGTCACTTTAAAACAATTTTTTAGTGCTTTGCTTTTTAGAAAGTAATCCTAATTTTATTTGGCTAATATTTTCTCGTTGCTTTCTCTTTTTTTTTTTTTTTTTTAATTTTTTATGGTAGAAAACTGCTTTGACAGCCATAATAGATAAATTATTTTCATTATAGTAACTTCACAACCAACTTTATAAAACTCCATAGCTGTCTCAAACAGACTCTATATCTCTATTAATTCTATAGACTATCTTCTTTATCTTTAGTATATATATGAGAGAACGAGTCTCGAGATATTCGTTTTGTATCTAAGACTTGCTATAATTGATTGAATTTGATTAGATCTAATTAAATAAACAATATGGACTCATAGAATTTCTTTGTCCCATGGGATATGATGTTATAGGATGTACACATATTTTTTGGTGATATATAAATAAATAATATGGACTCATAGAATTTCTTAAATTATTGCAAATGGCATAGAAGAAGTATAAATAAGTAATGCATTTAATTTTGAATTGGGGGAGAGAGAGAGAGAGAGAGAGAGAGAGAGAGAGAGAGAGAGAGAGAGTGTGTGTGTGTAGTTTAAGAATTTAAGAAATTGATAGAAATTTTTTTAGAATATGATAAGACAACAACAAATACATCAAGCATTTATCCCACTATGTGTGATCGGCTACATAAATCATATTTCTCAATTGTGTCATGTTAAGAGTTAAATTCTCATTTAAACCTAATAAAGAAAGGTCATTTCTAATATTTTTTAACCAAGTCTTTTTAAGTCTATCTATACATTTTTTAACCTAAGTCAAATCTAATACATTTACTTTTCTAATCGGGTCATCGAAAAGCTAATGTTTTATGTGACCGAAACCATCTAATGCGGCTCTCTCTATTCTTATCTTTCACTGGAGCTACTCCAATCTTTTCATGTAAATGCTCATTTCGTTTATTGCCTATAAGAGTAAAGCCACTCATCTATCCGAGCATCCTCATCTCTGCAACACTTAACTTAATATTATACTTCTCTTTTAATAGCCAACATTTTGTACCAAAAAGTGATAGGTCTAACCATCATCTTATAATTTTTTTTAAATTCTAAGATCAAATTTTGTTTTATCACTCAAATAAAAAAAAAATTCAACGGCTATTTAACTTAAAAAATGAAAATAAAATAAAATTGTTGGCCTAGGAGAAACCATTTCAGTGAACACTTAGCAGGCCTCTATTATTCAGTTTTAAGGCTATTGGAGTGGGTCAAAAAAAAATTTTTGACGATAATTTTAAATTTATTTAATTTATTTTAAAATTTGTGTAATTTAAAATATGACTGAATATTCATATATTATATTATTCCTGAATAAACTGTATAATTTTAAGATTCGTTTCTAGTGACCCAAATATAAGTTTTTTTTTTTTTTGCATTGAAAGGTTGATAAGTAGTAAAATTTGGACAAAATTTAAACGCTTATTTTAATATTTTGTATGAAATTAATGGAGCCCAAGTTTAATTTTTATTTTTAAAAAATGCCTATAAATATGAAAAAAAATCGCAATTTTAATAAATTTAATTTTAATTTCCGCCGTATTTTTATATAATATTAAAATTGAATAATTGGCTAAAATATTAATAAAATAATAAGTAAAAATTAAATTCCATGCTAAAAACAAATAGGAAAGACATGAAATTAGCATAGAGAAATAAAAGTAAAACTTAGCTTGGAAATTCATCTCTGAGGACTTTAAAATAAATAAACTAAATTAAAATATTTTATCTTACAATTTGTAACTTCTCTTATGATCAATCAACCAACTAAAATACGAATATTTAAAATAATGTAATTAATTAAAAAAAACAACCAATAAACTTTTGCCATTTCTCTTCTAATATAAAGGATGCTCAAGTTTTACACTTTTACCCTACATACAAAATTTTCTTGTGACAAATGGAGTGAAAGCTTTGTGAGGGGGACTTCTTGTCCAAAATTTCGATAAGCCTGAGAACTCAATTAAATTTAATAAACAAAGAAAATATGAAAGTTAAGGTGTAAATTGAAAAAAAAAAATATCAGATTTGTGTTCTTCTATGAGACTTGGGCTTTGTTTGGTATAATTTTCTTATTGATTTGTAAAGATATTGTAGAGAACGTAATTTTGTAAAGCTATTATAGAAAGAAATTTCTTAATATGACTTTTTTTTTTTTAAATAACGAAGAAACAGTGGCAAAAAAAATATGTGGTTGCAATCTGATAAAAAAAGTTGTCCAAAATGAAGCCTTAAGTTTGCTCTTCTTGCTGCACATATTACTAGGGGTATAAACGAGTTGAGTTGAGTTCGAGTCACCCCTAGCTAGAGCTATAGTTTGATTAATTAATCTAGTTCAACTTGAGCTTTATTCTACGAGTTCAAACCGGCTCACAAACATCTCGTTTGTTATGAAAGAGAGCATAAGATCATAATTTTAGCAATAATTATAATAAAACAGTAAAATAACTATAAATTATAATTAAAATTTTAAGGAATCACTTAATATAAGAAAATGAGATATAATTTTTAAATATTTTTAACAATGATTTAGTTAAAATCATGAATGATAATACATTTTAAGTGTATATCATATTAATATTTTTTAAAGAAAGTGGCTTGCATGGTGTAATTAAAAAAAATGAATGAGATTCTTCAATATTTTGCTAAGACCATTGATGAATAACCATATTTAAGCAACCCTCTATTGCTCGTGTGCTTATTGAGCTTGATGTTACCAAGCGGTATCATGTTAAAGTTTAGGTTGGTTCGGAATCTATGGGTTATATCCAATCAGTAGAATTTGAATAATTTCCTCACTATTGTGGTCATTGTAAGGTTTTGGGTCATGCTAGATTTTAATGTGATATTATGAATCCTCATTTAGCTAATTCTATTAACAACGTGGTTGGGGTGGGAGTGATTTTGAATAATAATTGTGATGTTGAGTGTGATCCAATTAGTAATGATGATCCTATTAGTGTGGAAAATAATAGCCCTTCTATTATTTTGCCTCAAATTAAGTCAGTTGTTTCCTTGGGGAGGGCGACTGAATTTGATTTGGTGATCCCTGATGTTGGTTCTTCTTCAACAGAGCATTGTGGGGTTATTGTGTTTTGTGATGATGGTGATGTGGGTGACCAAGTCTTGGTGGCAACCCCTCGGGGTGAGTTTGAGATTAGTTATTTTGATATTGTTGA